CAACAACATCGAAGAGCTTACTTGCGTATAGTGTGAAAAGCAAGGGACCTAAACATGACCCCTGAGGTACCCCTTGAGGCAGATCAAAGTCACTCGAATAGCTCCCGTTAATCAGGAGTCGCTGTTTCCTGTTTGATAAATACGAGTGAAACCATTTAAGAGCGGTGCCTGTAATTCCATACGTCACGTACAGGCGATTCAACAACACTTGGTGGTCAATCGTGTCGAATGCTGCACTCAGATTAAAAAGAGTAACTCGTTGATTGTCCATTGCAGCTAGTATGTCGTTCTGTATCTTCAGTAGGGCAGTCTCTGTGCTGTGACCCAGTCGATAGGCTGACTGGAAGGTGGGATACAAGCCCGACTGAGTAACATGATCAGTCATCTGATGATAGACTGCCCTTTCGATTAATTTAGAGAGGTATTGCAGATTACTCACAGGTCTTAAATTGGATAAGGAAGTCTCTTGCTTAGTCTTCTTCGGTCTTGGATCCACGAGGGCTGTTTTCCAATCAAATGGAAAATGTCCCAAGGAAAGAGAAGAATTCACGACATTAGTGATGATGGGGAGAAGCGTATCAGACATGCCGACTACTAAGTTGGTCGGCATAGGATCGAGTTGGCAGCTTTTCTTCGATGATCTAGTGACCAGCTTCCTCATATCTTCCACAGAGTACGTATTTAAATGATCAAGTTTCTTATCCCCTGTAAACACTTTATCCTCAGCATAAAGTGTACACGCATCAAGCTCAGCCCGAATTTTTACAATCTTACGGTAAAAAACCACCCAATGTCATTGGCTAAGATTGAATTGTCCGTGTATTCTGGAAAACACAACTCGTTCCCCGGAAGTAACAACGATCGAGTAGCCCTGAATAGCTTTCCTTGGTCTTGACTATTGTCGTTAATGAAGTCTGAGTAGAAAGCACGCTTAGCGCGTGTGCTTATATAAGTGACGTGGTTCTTAAGTTTCTTGAATGCCAACAAATCTTCCTGTGATCGTGTTCTTCTCCATCTCCGTTCTGCTTTCCGGCGTTGCCTTTTCGCCTCAGCTATCTCACTGGTGTACGAAGGTACCTTGGGCCTAGTCCGCACTGTTTCGGTTTTTAAAGGTGCATGAGGATCAAGAACTTGAGAGAGTGTGGTCGTGTAATCCTTTACAAGTAAGTCCAAGTGCAGTGGGGTGCTGGGATTGATAATACCTCGATCACACAGCCCTGTATGTACTACATCATTCGATAGGCTCTCAGCGTCCAGGATTTAGTTTTCCTAAACTTTATTATCTTAG